ATATATATATATATATATATATAAAGTGATTATTATTTAATAAAATAAGTTTTTTTTTTTTTACTTTTTCTGTGTTTGTCTTAATTACTTTTTTTAAAAAATAAAAACATAGGTTTTTTTATAAAGCAATTCTTATTTATTTTAAAAAAAATCACTTTTCTTAAACAAAATATGGACACAAGTTTTGTCCCTTTATTTTATTCATCATAATTACAATCATCTCATTAATAAGATTCAACATATTTACCTAAGTTTTTATCATCAGGTCAAAACAATTATTATATAATTAAGATAATGTATCTAGCAAGTAGTAACTTATATCAAAATAAGTATATTTTATCTTTAGAATTAAAATATTATTACTAGGTATCATTTTTATATTTATTTCAACATTTTTAACTTTCTAGCTTTTTAAATATATCATTTTAATAATTATTTAATATTTTTAAAATCTCATATTCTTGAATATTTACCAGTGTTTTAAAACCCGGACCGACCCGGCCGGTCGGACCGGTTGGACCGGGAACCGGTGGTCCAGCCGGTCCGAATCTGAAGTTGGATCGGTTATGCAGTCGACCCGTTTCAAACCGGATTGAACCGGTCAATTTTCCGGTTCAACCGGTGAACCGGTGGGTCAAACCGGTTCAACCACTTTTTTTTTTTTTTTTTTTTTAAATTTTTTTAAGGGACCATAAATCACAAAAATAATAATGAAAATTGAATCTCTTAATGAAAAAGCAAGGAGTCTTATTAAATATAACAATGACTACTTGTTCTAATATATTTGTTTGCAATATATACAACTTAAATAACTTTTATAGTATATTATTAATTTTAAATTATATATTTAATAATGCAATATCTATGTAAATATTACATATATTATTTTGTGATATTAATTGCAAGCATATTATATATGTACATATTATTTATATTTTTAATTTGTATTAATATACCGTTTAACATGTAATTTTTTTATGTATTTTTTTACAAAATAAAAATAAAAATAATTTTAAATAAGATAGAAAAATTGAAATTTAAAATAAGATATGAATTTATTAAAATTTATAAGTATAAAATATATTTAATATGAATACTTTTTAATAAAAATAAATAAAAATCGAGTCATGCGGTTCAACTAGTGACCCACCGGTTCAACCTTTGACCCACTGACCCAGTGCCTTAACCGGTTCGATGACCGGTCCGATTTTTAAAACTATGATATTTACATATATTTTTTAAAAGTTATCAATAATTAAAAAAAATTATATAAAAATATAAATTATTTATCATAAATCTAAACTTCAATTTTATATCAAAAAATTATTTATTTATTATAAATTTATTCATATACTTTTAACTACAATATTTTTTTAGCATTGATAATTTTTAATATATATTAAAGTTTAATTTTAAAATAATAATGAAAATGTTAGACTAAAAAAGTAAGAGAAGAACAGCTCTAAAATCACTTTCATTTCATAAAATTTCATGAAAATATTTTGGCTAAAAAAATTTATAATAATGTATATGTTCAATTTTTTATATATTTAGTATGAAATAAGTTATATCAAAAGAAAAATAATTATCTTGTACATTCATGATTGTCTGATAAAAATTAATTACTACCTTTAATAATAAATATTTCGTAACAATAATCATCATTACTTAAAAAAAATTGTTAATTATTATAATTTATATACAATGTATATGTTAATATATATATAAATAATCATTAAATAATGCATTATTATTATTATTATTATTATTATTATTACAATTTATTGAATATGATATATAATAGAAGCAATTAATGGAGGAGTATTTATTCATTAAAAATATAGAGATAAGGGGAAGAAAAGCAGAAAAAAGGTAGGTGAAGGAATGAGGAGGAGGTTTCAATTTCATGTCCATCCAAGAAACAAAAGCAACCCACCCAATGAGAAGTTTGAAGAGATAGATAAAGTAATGAAAAAGGGCCAACCAAAGCAAACAAACCTGGGTGAGTGTGGCTTAAGATCACAAAACCTCTTCAATGGCCTCCTTATCCATCCCCTCAGCCCCATCCCTCTCATCCGCAAACCACAACGCCTCCACGCGCCTTATCCTGCGCACCCCCGCCTCCCTTAACCTGCGCACCCGCCCCCACGCCATCCGCGCCATCACCCTCACGCAGGACGACCTCAAGAGGCTCGCCGCCGACAAGGCCGTCGAGTCCGTCAAGAGCGGCATGGTCCTCGGCCTCGGCACCGGCTCCACCGCCGCCTTCGTCGTCGCCAAGCTCGGCTCCCTCCTCGCCTCCGGCCACCTCACCAACATCGTCGGCGTCCCCACCTCCAAGCGCACCGAGGAGCAGGCCCGCTCCCTCGGCATCCCCCTCTCCGTCCTCGACGACAATCCCCGCCTCGATCTCGCCATCGACGGCGCCGACGAGGTGGACCCCGACCTCAACCTCGTCAAAGGCCGCGGCGGCGCCCTCCTCCGCGAGAAGATGGTCGAGGCCGCCTCCGACAAGTTCATCGTGGTGGCCGACGACACCAAGCTGGTGGAGGGCCTCGGCGGCAGCGGCCTGGCCATGCCGGTGGAGGTGGTTCAGTTCTGCTGGAAGTACAATCTGGTGAGGCTCCAGGAACTGTTCAAGGAAGAAGGATGCGATGCCAAATTGAGATTGGAGGAGAGTGGGAAACCCTACGTCACCGATAATTCCAATTACATCGTCGATTTGTACTTCAAGACTCCAATTAGGGATGCATTGGCCGCTGGCGCTGAAATTTCGGCTCTCGAAGGCGTCGTGGAGCATGGATTGTTCCTCAACATGGCTACCTCTGTCATCATTGCCGCCAAATCTGGCGTTCAAGTCAAGAACAAGTGAGTCAGACAAAGAGACGCATCGCTGAGTAATTCACAATTTCCGGTTTTTTTTCTTTTTTTCTTCTTTTTTTCAATGTGTCCTCCGTGTATTGGTAGTATTTTGTTTTGGAAGAAATAAGTGATACATATATGCACCCATTTATGCACAATATTCATCTCCGCCCATGTGAGCTTATTATACCACTAGTTTTAACTTTTAAAAAGAAGAAAAAAAAGGTTCAGGAAGAGAGAAAGAAGGGATCCATTGGGCCTGAGAGTGAGAGGTAGAAAGTCCAATGTCACCTTGACGTAGTAGTTGAATTGGTGACTTTAGTTCCAAGCCTACCTAAGCGATCATATGTTTAAAACAAAATCTAAATTTGTTTCAAGTTAAAAAGTATTTAATTGTGGCTGCTGGGATTCGAGCCCAGGTCTCCACGGCCACAACGTGGAATTCTTACCACTAAACTACAGCCACACTTGCTTTGGGCTTGGTACATTAAGAAATAACAAATATGGGGATGTTGAGAAGGATAAAATAATTGGGGTTGTATTCGCTGCAGGCACCATCAACAAAAGACACCCAACGTCAAGCTATAATGTATTTCATTTAAATACATTAAATATTTAATGAGCTACAATTCGTGACACAAAATTGTAAAGAATAAACTTATTAAGTGTGATTTTATTAATTAAAAAATAGCGTAACTTATGAGAAGGGAATTTCCCACGCATAAAACCACATACAAAATTCTTATTCTGGCGTACAAGATTCAAACAATTGCAGAATGAAAATTAACAAAAGACTCCATTTTTTTAAATTTATTTTAAGAACAAATTTCTATCATTCTCGCCGTTAAGTTTTCTAATAAAAAAATAACACGTAAATATTTATTTAAATTCTGCAACACATATTTAATCAAAAATATGTAATACTGAAAAGGACATTCACATGTAGATTGTTGAACTGGATGACAAAGATATATTAAAAAAAAAAAAAAACTTGATCTATTTTTTTTTATTGATATGGATGAATTAGTGCGTGTTTGTATTGAATTCCAAACGTGGATTTTCACGTTTGAGTAAAAGTAACAAATAATAACTTCAGTCCAAATTCATTGTTGGACGTGGAGAGAGTAAAAAAAATTGCTTTCCAAAATGAAATCCAAACACACGCTTGGTCGACAAAGAGGATACAGAGAACCGGAAAATAAGCAAAAGTACAACAGCATAATTAGATAACAAATTGACTCGTGATTGTTTACTCATTTTTTTTTTCTAATGTCTTTCTTTTCTTCATCCAAGTTGTATTAAGTAAATGTTAATCCTATTTCTTTTAGTGAGTAGAAGTGAAAGGCTCTTGAAATCTTCTATTTTCGGAGTAGCTACCGCTGTATACTCTTGACTAAATCAGAGCCAAACCCAAAAGAGTACAACAGCGTAGAGATGAATTCGAAGTCAACACGCATACTTAAGTAGTTTGTGTCAATTTATTTATCTTCGACATTAACATCCGGGTGATAAATGTTGAGTTGAACTAAACAACTAAATACCATAGTGATCAGTGTTCACCTTTCTCTAATTCATCTTCCATCATAGAAGCACCACATTTTCGTGATCCCGGTCAATTTTCGTATAACATGTATTTGATTTTTCAGTCTATGAAAATGAGTTAATAAAATTTGATTATGCATCACTCTGAGATTAACTGAAACAGTAAATACATAGTTTCAAACAATACAATAATTTCTCCATGGAATAGAATTTTTTTTTTTATCGTATTAATTGATTTTCTTAAGATCTTTATTGCCTCGACGTACACTTGCGTACAAACCATGCATGGCCCTTGAATCCCGTATTAAGCCTCAAAGAAGCAAAAAAAAAAAAAAGGTTATAAAACCGTGACATTTCCACCTTCTTATTTCTATAGAGAGGCACTGTCATTGAATATTTGAATGTATGTTTACTCTACCACAACCAGCTAGTAGATCCTGATTAAAAAAAGTGAGAAAGAAAGATCTTATTTATTTATTAATTATTTTCACAGCACGGTCCCTTAACAATTACTGAAGTCAGAAAAAATTACAGCTCTTGACGATCAAGCTGAGGCAACGTTGAAGTGGAAAGCTCCTCGAATTATATTGAGGAAGCTCCACGAGGGTGGCAAGTGGCTTTAACAGAGAAAGCTTAATTTGCAGGCCAAAGCCAGCAATGAATTGTTAAATAGCAGCACAAGAACCGAAAAAGAGTCACGGTGAACAAGTAGAACAGTAGAAGAATGCAGTGTATTTAATGCACGTGTGTATCTAATTCCTTTTCTGGGTAGTATATCAGAAGCTCCGTGGCTTGTTCAGTTGACTTGCTAGGTCTCATTAACTGGTGTTTTGGAACAGAAAACAAGAAATGGGGAAGGCGAGCAAATGGATTAGAAACTTCCTTCTAGGGAAGAAAGAAGAGAAACTCAAGAAGATCGATGGGTTCTGCCCTGAGGATAAGAGTGTCAACAAGGGGAGTCAGATTGTGAGTTCCAAAGTGAAGCGCAGATGGAGCTTCGGGAAGCTAACAGGTGGAAGAATAACAAGCAAGGTAGCAGGGCATAAATTTTCAAGATCTTTTGACTCAGGTGACTCTGCCAAACTGCAAATACAAGCCTTATTGGAAGCCAAGACTCCAAGGCGTCTTCCAACACCGCTGGCCAAGGCTTCTAGAGATAAAAACAAAGCTGCTATAAAGATTCAAGCTGGCTTTCGCTCATATTTGGTGAATATTTTATGGCCACGTCTATATAAGCTTTTTCTCTTTAATGTTGTAACCTTACAATTTAATAGATTTTCTTACAATTTTCAGGCAAAGAGAGCATTGCATGCTTTAAAGGGATTAGTCAAGTTGCAGGCACTGGTGAGGGGTCACCTTGTGAGGAAACAAACCACTGCTACACTGCGTGGCATGCATGCGTTAATGGCCATACAAGTTAGAGCTCGGATTCACAGAATTCAGATGGCAGAGGAAGCTAACCTCCTCGGGAAACAGCCTCCGCAACATACAGAAGTTACACACTTCAGTGATTTTATAACAGAAGAAAATAAAGTAAGATCCAGATTCTAAACAATATTTGCATCTGAAGATTGATATAGTATGGTTATTTAAGTAACAGAAACATAAAACCACTATATTCAATTTAGACGTAAATGCTAATGAAAGTTCATCCTATTACAGCTTTTTTTGGCTAATTTTTAGTTAGATGTTACGTTATGCTGCATTCTAGATAATACTTGTAATATGGTTATTATGTGTAGGATTCATGGGATATGAGTGTGGAAGAAATGTTGGAGGTTTTGAAAAGCAGAAGTGGCCCTCTAGATGGTTCGCATGTTAAGAGCAGAGAGCGTGATTCCATGACATTCTATTCCAAGCATCTGCCGGTTGTTTCTAAACGACAAAACCAATACAAGAATACTCTAATTATGTCTGAAATTAACCCAACGACAATGGCCTTATCAACTTCTCAGCGCCATTCAGTGACTCACCGCCAATCATTGTCACCAAATTACATGAACAAGACAGAATCTTCAAGGGCAAAAGCAAGGTCGCAGAGTGAACCGAAACAACGACCCAAACAGGGAACGAGGCACAAAGGCAAGTCTGTGGAATACCCATTGAATGGCCCAAGACAAAATCTTTTTTCAAACTCGTTACGCTACGATCATGGAAGCCTGGACCATTGGGTTATCAATCTTCATGGGTCAATGAAGGACAGCAGACGCGATTCCTTTGGTAGCAGCTCGGTCACTACTGATTCCTATTATTGAATTCTCCTGCTGAGTTACAGAACAAGCTAGTAATTCAATTTTGAACCTAATGCTTGTCATATATCATTATAAAACGCTTTGTAGCCCTTCTGACTTTGATTGAGCAACGCAATTTCATCCCATCTACTTTGCAGCAAAAGTCTGGTTTATGGTAGGATGCCAGATTAACAACTCAATCATTAATGAAATGATAAAACTCATGCAATTTGTAAGTGTTGTAGGGTGTGATTATCTAATTAATTGATGTTTTATTTCAATAACTCATAAGTTATCACCTTTATTTTATAGATTACTTATTTAAAACTAATGTTGATTAGATAACATCAAAAACATCTATAGAAGTACATCTAAATTTTGTCTTTAATGGGAAGGACAATACAACAGCTGTGAAGTGTGAATTGAAATAAAAAGTTATAAAACGTTTCTAAAATTTATCATTTTAGTTAATTCTGGTCAGATAGGTAATGCTATCAAGTCATGAAAAGATCTACCTTCTTTCTCATTCAACAGATTGAAAGTGAGAGTTATCATTGTTCAGTAAGTGAAATAGTGGGTAATTGAAAACACATTGTTGCCTATAAAAATCAGCTGTCTAAATGTAAGTGTGAGGAGAAACACCGAACTCTACAAACATGACTCTGAGATATTGCAGCAGTTTAGATGGATTGTTCCCGGTTGAAAGTGTTCTCTTTGAAACTCTTGCTCAACCAAATAGCAGTTTCCCTTGGGGAAGCTTTCCCTGGCCCAAAAGGTTTTAATAAAACTCCGAGTTCTCCATACCTTTCCTGCTGTAGTAATCTTGCACTAAATTCAAGCAAGCCTTCTAAGGCTTCAGCCCTTTGTTGAAATGACGACGTATCAAATTGTCGGTGATGCAAGTCTGAAGAGTTGTGGCTTGATGCTCCAGCAGTTGCATTTTGATCAGATGAGCCACTTTTGTATATGCTGCGCTTGATTCCCTGCCAAGCATCTGTACAACCTGGCCTAACATAGGCTGTGTCACATACCTTGATTGTGCATTTGTCTATCAAAGTTGAATCATTGCCACAAGGAGGAGAGCCTGAGGACCCCTGCACCGAGTTTGGTGAAGATCTATTGACAGGAAACAATGGATCTTCATATGATGCTAATGGGAATTCTGCTATCCTATCAATACGGGGAGAGTTAACTGAAATATTGGGCGAGTTTACATGGTCAAGTAAACCAATACTGGACCTACGAGGAGGCTGCTGAATGGCACAACTTTTTGGCAATGGCAATGATACTCGGCGAGTTGTATGGACTGGTTGTTTCGTATTGTGTGAAACAGGAAGCTGCAACCATAGACTTCAGAAAGTCAGGCATCTAAAATTCTTAATTGGATAATACCGTTACACAGTTATTACAAGCGCAGTAGTTCATCGTAAAACAACCCACTCAATAGAAGTGGAATGCTTAAGTTTGTTCATGATATACCGTGTGGAAAACATTAAAACATGATTGATTCCAGCTTGCCTTACCGTCTTATGATTCTTTGAGGGCACCGTTAATTTCTTGGAGGTGGCAGAAGCTTTTGATGCAGTTAGTTTAGGAGTCTTGGCATTACTGGAATTTTTGGAAACAGCTGGCTTATGGAGTGACTTCACGTCATGGTTGTCTCCAACACAAAGTTCAGCAAATCTTTGATTTAAATTAACAGTAGTACAGTCTATCTCTAGCGTAGAGCATAGAGAATCTTGTTCTGCTCTTGATACACTAGGGTTTAAAGTCCGATCATTGCTAAAAGAATGCCACTTATACCCAGAGAGGGAAACAGGATCAGCTTCTGACTTCAAAAATCTAGTTTTCTTTATGTAATTGGATTCTGGCCAATGACCTGGCAATGTATTTCGCCTTGGGCTATTGATTTTAAGATGGACCTTAAGAACATAAGGTTGAAGATGTTGGTGCCCAAGTAGCTCTGCCGCCTGCATCCAGAAGCACATGAAAGAAAATAAGCAAGAAAGCATGGTTACAGAAGACCCCTTCACAACCAATGTCATTTAATAGTCTGTCTCCAAACTTGAAAAACAAGGCATTAATTTAAAAGCTAGATCAATCACTGAATTGACAAAGGTACTCACTGGTTCACGGTTCATTGATCTATCTCTAGTTAAAGCGTAAACCAGCGATAATCAAATATATTTTTAATATTTTTAACATATTATATAATAGACTAAAATAAAATTACAAGAAATCAGGTTAGTAAACAATAAGTTAAATTATAATTTTAGTCTTTTATTTTTAAATTTTGGTCAATTTAGTCCTTCCAAAACAGTCATCATTTTTTATTTTGAAACACGATTTTGAATCCTTGAATGATTGATTTGAGATGTGAAATTTGTTTCATTAGATTCACTTACATAAAAATTATTATATTTAATTGATGTTCAAACTAAAAAAGTCATAAATATGATAAAAATTGCATACAAATGTATTCAACAAGCAACTGAAAATTAAAAAAGAAAATCTAATATCAAATTCTTTTTTAGTTGCTCATGTGATTTATTTTTCACACAATTTTATTATATTTAGTCTTTTTTGGTTTGAACATAAATTGAGTTTCATAGTTTTGATGTTGGTGAATCTAACAAGACAATTTCCACATCTAAAATCAGGAAAAAAAAAAAAAACAGATTTAAAATCATATCTCAAATAAATAAATAAAATCATTATTTCAAAAGGACCAAAATAGACCCAAATTTAAAAGATGAAGGATAAAAATGATTCTTTCTTTATAGAGGATCAAAATGAATTTTTTTTAAAAAATAAGATAGAACACCAAAAGTAAAATTTAGCCTAAACAATATTTAAATTAGCGTAAAATGATCAAATTACATGCCCTACAAGATTAAAAAATTGATAACAGTATGTGTTGACCTCGTGTGTGAGACTAAATAATAACAATGTGCATTTCGTGTAAGCCTTTATTTTGCTAAACACAATTTTTTGAATTAAAAATTACAAAAAAAAAATGTTATTCACATGTTTTAGATCGATTTGACTAATTGTGACCATTTGGTCTTAAGGTTAAATGAACTGAACACCTGACCAGTTTTTTACCCAATTTCTATTTCTCAATAAATCTATCCAAATAAATTAAGTCTGGTTCCGATAATGTAGAATCACTTATTACAGAGTTTATTAAATTTCAGCAGACTGCTTTAAAATATTACAAATGTTTAACCAATCTTTACTCATTAAGATACCTAGTTGCCTATGTAAGTGACAAATTTATTATTGATTTAATGAAAAAATTATAATTATTCTTTCACAATGGAGGATTTGTTTATATGAATGGAGAAAATAGGTAAAATTTCTAGGTAATATATTAAAGAAATTTCTCATAACGTTTAATGTGGAACCCATCACCAAGCCAACCCGTCCCCAAAATGGTACATGGTACTAGATGCTGCACCATTAAATTGAATTGAATTATTCAGAGGAGAACTTTTATACATACACTAGGCCTAAGCTCTGGATTTTTCCGCAGCATGCTTTTAACAAGACCTCGACTGCCAAAAATGAAATAAAAAATTGTTAAGAACAATCATACAGTTCATGATATAACTAATTGATTGAGATTAATTTATAAGAAACCTCACTTTCAATGAGATTTGTCTTTGCTTAAAGCTGCTTAGTTAGGACAATTTTAGGCATTAGGTCAATAAAAATTCCAAATTTAACAGCATTAAGACATGACAATGCAATTTGTAACTGACAATGTTAGCCAAAGTAACTGTGACAAAAGAAACAAGGACTTACAATGCACCAGAATATTTTGTTGGCAATGGAGCCACTATGGACTTGTTAATCTTGTTAATCAGGGATTGTATATCCTGTTCGAAAAAATTGAAAGACAATTATATATATATAATTTAATAAAAAAGCAACGTTTGCCGAAAATATATAAAAGCAGAAAATGCAAGTAGTTTTAAGCCTTCGAGAGATAATATATGTAATTATGTATAGCCATGAAGCTAGACAAGTGCAGCTGATAATCAATTAAGAAAGTCATAAAAATAGACATAAGCTCAAAATATATCAAATCAGACAGTAATTTTTTGGATTTGAATGTATTGGTCAGTAAATAGAGCACAAAAACATGATCAAACTAGGTAATGTAACGGGATTTGGCTGCTTTAAAGCGGAGTGTATTTTAATCTTTAGTGAATAAAGTGCAGTGTTATAACCATTGATTTAAAAACTAACACAGCAGATTTTAACAACTTATTAGTTATGAGGCGCATACATAACAAACTATAAAGTTGATAAAATCTATGCAGTTGATTTAAGTCAACAATTATAACTCCACAATTTATCCTGTATTCTAGAGTGCACCCCTCACTTTAAAAGAACCAAATTCAACCGATAATAGTGAAATTGATATGCAGACATTGTATCTGATTGATAACAAGGAGAAAAATGGTAACACGACAGCAGCAATGAAATAATTAAATCATTTCCAAGAAGATGAGATACAGACAAGAAAAATCTTCTGATTATAGAGGAAAACTTACAAATGCTTTGAATGCAGGCTTAAGAGACGTCATTTCATATATACAACATCCTGAACAACCAATTTCAAAGATCATGAATACACAGTCAACTAGATAACAACAAAACTTATCAAGAAAAAAATAACCTTAATATATGAGTAATTACCCAAGGACCAAATATCTGATTTAGAACCGTAAGGAATATCGGCAAGGAGCTCAGGGCACATGTAGCTAGGAGTTCCCACAACCTAAATTACAAGACAATATTGATATTGATGATGACCATACAGAAGTTACAATCACGAAGGTAAACTCAGTTCTTAGATTAAATATTTCTTACAGAGGAAGTTAGATCATCTGAAGTCAACATTTTGGCAAGTCCAAAATCACCTGATTCATCATTGATCACTTATAAGCAAACTTGTAACCATCTATAGCTTCTTTGTGACTATGCTTTATTAAAGGAACAATAAAATAACTTACCAAGGCGTATGTCATGATCTTTTGTCAAGAATATATTTGAACACTGATAGAATCATGTAATTCTCATTAATATATTGCTTGAAGGAATTTAGATTCAAATATGAATTTTGTCACTAAACACAGAAGATTCTGTGGCTAACCTTGACATCACGATGAAGAATATGGTTCACATGCAAGTAATCAAGTGCCATGAGAAGTTGAACAAGCCACTTACACAGTTTCTGCAAACAGATGACCATTTTAGATTTTAAAAGTCCAAATATAAATATTATCTCATTTAATGAAAAAAGAATATTCATATCTGAAGGAAAAGAGACATAAAGATTTATAATTTCTGCAAGGAAAAACAAAATCAGACATAACCTCCTCAGGAAACATAACACCACTAGCTTTCTTTATAGCTTCCGCCCTATGTTTCATCAATGATATTTTTTAAAACAATATTAAAGACCGAATTATTAAAATAGCCAGGTGAAAGAATACAGAACCATAAATTGTAAGCGAGTAAAAATCTGAGAAAAGACACTTACATGTCTCCACCCTCACAATAACCTATAATTATGCACACATAGCAACCCTGAGAAGGAAGTTAGGTTAATATGTCATCCATCAACAATCAACAAAAAAAGAAAAAACATAATAATAAAAGGTAATAGCTGAAATAATGATCCAAAAAAGAGAATAAACTTAAATCTTAACTATTAACAAAGCTACATTCCTAGTCTTAGTCAAATTACTGTACATATCCATCGAAGATACAAACTAACCCATAAATGGAGACACCAATTTATTTTTATTAAGGCGAATGAAACAATACATTAGTCTTAGCAAGAGTTAAAACTTCATGAAATATTTTATAATGCAAATGTAGAGATTTAATACTTCATGTAGAGATTTAATACTTCATGTAGAGTTAAAACTTCATGGAATCAACCACTAGAAGCTTAACGGGCCAAGTGCCTTGTAGAAACCATTCTTGACTTCTTGAAATTAACTGAGGAGGTGAAGAGAAGTAGAAGTCACGAACCACATACCTTTTCTACCCATGAATCTTTATACTCCACAATAAATGGATTTCTTAATTTGGAGAGGAGCTCCATCTAAACAGATCAAAAGAAAAAAAGAAATGAATAACATACTGAATCATATCCACAAATATTTCGCATCAAATGTTTTGATACAACAGAAGTTGTTAAGTTTACAGCCTAATTCATATTGAGGTTTGAAACTTCTTTCAGCCTATTAGAAAATGAAATTTCTCGAGTCTAGAGCACAGCACACAAACAAAAAAAGGTGCAATAGGAAGACAAAACCATGTAGCAGAACACAAGCCCAGAAAGGAAGATTCTAGAAAACAACACAAGATGTTTAGTTAGTCCATTTTCTGAAACGCAATTAAGCACAAACCTCCTGGTGTGCAGACCTACGAGAGCGCTCAGTTTGGCGGGCAAGGCGAATCTTCTTCAGCACATATCTACATAATTGGCGTGAAAAAGTTGAAAAACTCGGATGAATTAGCAGGAGATGATATAGACGCTGAAAGGGAAAATAACGACAGTAACATAAGTTCGATTCTCACTTTTTCTTCTCATGCTTATGCTTCACAAGAAGAGCAGAACCAAAAGCACCTTTTCCAATTTGCTCAAGTATTTCATACTGCTCCATGTCATCAATTAGTAATATATTTCCCTCTCCTGGATACAAAAGGACAAGCATGTTCAATTCTTTCCAAAACAAAAAAAAAATTGCAAAGAAAAAATGGCGAATACTAAACCATGTCAAATTTCAAAGCTAAGAAACCGATTACTGAAATGTAATGGTACATCAGAAGGAATTAACTAAAATGTCAGCGGAAGTTGCTCAAAAAGTACATATGCTTGATTGCTTGTAGGCAAAACTCTGTCTCATTCTCATTCTCATTGTAGGATACAGCATTGTAATAATGTGCACAATAGCAACAAGTAAGAAACGATTGCATTAACTTATGTACGAAGGTTGAAGAATCAGGTATGGTAGCGAGAAACCTAGAGAAATAGAAATTGTGGAATGAATTAAGGAATGGTGAGAATTGTTTCCTCTCCTAATATTTTTTTAACACAATTAATATAACATTGACGAACACTGCAGAGTAAGAAAAACGGTCACAGACCAAGAATTTCCCGGAGCGGAGTACAGTGGAAGCAAACGCCGAAAACGCAAACGCGGAAAATGGAGAGAAATCCAAAACTAACATTTGAGGTATCAGAAAGAAAATAAAAGGCAAAGTGTACCTAAGTTGAGAAGTTGAGCGGGTAGAACTATAGAAAGGATTCAACAGGTAGAGGGAAGAGACGAATCTGAGAATGCGAGGTTCGACATTGGCAGAGGAAATGCAAAACGACACCGTTTTTGGAGAAGCAGCTGCAGCAGCAGCAGCAGCAGCAGAAGCTCTTTCGCCATTGTAGTGGTTGGTTGAAGAAAGAAAATGACAATTTACATTGAAATTTATCAAAGCAAACGCGATAATTGGTTCACGAGAGTAAGGGAAAATGATGCAAGGGTCAACATTACACTCACTAATTCATAATTAATACGCTTCAGATCTCTTAACTGAAATTCATTCGTAAATCCACATAACAAATTATAGTAATCGTCAACACGTTTTACTAGTATTTAGTTTAGTAATAAATTTTCTTCCGCATGTAACCGAAAAAAATGAAGCAAGTTCTAACGAAGGAAATACCAATTCTGAATTAAAGTGGAGATTATAGGATTCTAAACCAATATAAAACCTTCAAAAAAAAAAAAAAAGGTTTATCATTGAATTCGGTTTAATGGATTTAGTCATCTTAATTCATGTTGGTTAATTTATAAATATATAGAAAAGTGTGTAGAAATCTGTAAGAAGATTTTCTTTATATGTCTGATTAATTTTTCAGAATCTCTCTCTATTTATATAAGAAATTGAAAAGCTTTAATAAATATGAATTTTAAAAGAAATATTCTTTTAATAAACCAGTAGGGGAAAAAAGAGATGCACTATAGGCAAAGGAAAGCTAGATTGACAACAAAAACATAGTGTAAGAATTACTTATTGTAAATAAAAAAGATCAAAGTGTAACTAATAATAATAGTGTTAATTATATATTATTAGTGTAAAATTTTTTACATTAATAATCAATCATATCTTTTAAATTATTTTATTTTATTTTTATTTTAATTAAATGAGTAAATAATATGATATTATTAAAAGATATAATTAATTATTAATATAATTTTTTTTTATAAAAATAATGTATAAATGATTAATTCGTAATAATAATGGAATTTGTTTGTATAATCTCCGCGTATATATGACAGTGAGACACGGAGGGCACGGGTTTTTTTTTCCTTCTCAATTACAAACCTTATGATCCGGCGCTTAATTTCACGCCTTACCAAACATCACATTTATTTAGAGTTACTGCATGCCATTGCCGTGACTCACGACCAAAAGTTCATTATCATTACAATGCATGTTTTCATTGTTTTGATTGTGTAGCAAGAGTAATATGCAAGTAACATAATACTATTACTACCACGTGTAATGTAAGGAATATTTTTTTATTTTATGATAAATAAATATTTTTAAATATATAAACTATATTATAATTAAAAAATTTAATGAATAAGTATTTTTATTATATAAATTATATTTTAGATTTATGATAAATAATTTATATTGTGATATAGTTTTATTTTTATCTTATGATAATTTTTTAAAACATTAAATTTAATTTAAAACAAAAAAAAATGATAGACTACTATATATAAGAGGTTGAGAAAAAATTTCAGCATTCTCGAAAAAAAAAATCAAAAACACTTTCATTAAAAAAAAAATTCTTTGAAAGCATTCTCCTTTAATGTGATTATTTCAACTTACATAAAAGATTATTCGAAGCAAAATATTGAAAGTATTGTACATATTAAAAAAAACTGAATAGGTTGAGTCAAAATGACATTTTCCCCCCTAAATTCACGTGAATTTACAAATAAAATTAAATTAAAATAATAAATAATGTCATACTAAATAAAACGAATTATTTTCAAGTCTATATTTTGTAGATTAATTACAAATTATTGAACATTTGGGCTCATCATCAATCCGAGTCGAATTAGATTGATTTTTTTCATTCCTAAATTTTTAGAATTCAACTTATAACTTTACTAATAAATTGTCCAAACAGACCCATCAGGTCAGATTTATTTTTTCACATCTAGTTTCATCTTATTATTTAATATATATTTAATTAGTTTAGCTCATAATTTTGAATTGAATTATTTAATTTTAATTGAGTCTAAAACGTTTCTTCATTTGTTTACCAAAAAATAAGATAAAATTATATATATATTCGAGTCAAAATAGTTAGGTTATTTTGGTGTATTTGGAATGAAGGAAATAAATGGATGATAAATAAGATAGATAAAAGTAGGGAAGAGAAAAATTGAATAAATAAAAATAGGTAACAATAGAGTAAACTTTTCTTGTTTTTAGTTCGTGAGAAGTAAATAAAATTATCAATTTTATTTTTGAAAATTGATTTTTTTTGGCAATTTCTGACAATTATTTTTTTGTTACATATAAATTTGTTTCTAATAGTTTTAAACAACCACAAAATACAAATGGCCTTCGAAAAGGACAAATTTTGGCTTATGAAAAAATAATATGCATTTCTCGTTCTTTTTATTTCTCTCTCATTTTCATACAATCAGCTGACCTTAATTTTTCATTTTTTCCCCCTTATTTTTCATCAATTTTACTCTACCAAACAAGGTGTTAGAATAATTAAGGTCTCACTCGAGACTCATAATATCGATTTTACATTGTATTTCATGTACCTAAATTAAAATATTTTTAATACTTATTCAAAATTTGCACCAATATTTCTGAAATATTTAATGATTAAACAACTTGTACTCATTTAGATTACATCAATAGTAAGATTTGTAACTATATTTAAATATTATAAGTTCATAATTGTGATCACTCATCTTCATCCTAGCATTATAAATAGAGTTCACCTAAATGACTCAATGTTGGTATGTATAATAATATATGTACTAACAAGATACGAATCCTCTACTAATTATTATTATTTTTTAATTTAGGTATTAGCGTGTGTATGTAAGTGTTTTTATTGTTTGAATCAACACTTGATCACTATGACGTGCAATTTATAAATCCAACTTAGTTTAGAAATCCTTAAAATTAAGTTTAGCCAAATCATTATCATAATTTCCATAAACTTTACTATAAATGCTTCTGTGCTGTTTTTTTTTTTTTTAAAGACAAGGAGGACTTATAGTTATTATTAGTTTTGATTTAATAATAAATAAATTTTAAAGTTAAAACGATGAAAGCATTCAATATTAAAATAGACCTTAAAATCTATTATTTTATTATTATTTAGAAAATTAATTTTGAAAACAATTTAAAATAGAACAATATAAATTTTATATATAATATGTGGTGATAGATAAAAAAAAAAAAACATATGCCAAGCGAGTAGGGACATAACAAGGAAAGCTGAAATTGTATGGAACCTTGAAAGAGATAAATAAACAAACAAAATCTAAAGGCGGTGGGATTTGGGGACAGCGATCTACGCGGCTGAGGAGTGAATCTCAATGTGTTTCCCATTATCAGATATTATTATCATATTTTAACTACAAAAATGCATGTCCATAATTAACAATAGTGGTTGAAAAAGGAGTTTGAATTTCTTAACTAAAGTCTTAAATTCGAATATTAATGTAGTTGAATGTTAGTAACAGAGAATATCAACACGAAGAGTAAAAAAATTGAATACTCATAATTGATAATTCATTCCTACTCTCCTAGAAGTCAGTCAACTTTTTCCAACACGGGAGAAAGTTACTATTGGACCTCCAGCATTTATATTCTCTATAATAGAATATTATATTATCTATTTTCAATCTAAACTTTTATAATTTTAATTTTGATATTTTTTAAAAGATCTCATATTAATAAAAGAATTATGTATATTTTATAAATTTTTATTTTTTTCTATAATTCAATGAGGTGAGATTTTGTTCATAATAATTACATCAAGAAACAGAAAAAGAAAAACTGAGTAAAGCTTGAATAGTTCACTCATCGTACGACAATAACACAAGGATTCTTGCCATGGAATTGTGCAGCCAAATTTATATCATTATCGACTTGTGTTCTTTTGTCTTGCGTACCTTATATTGGGTTAAACCAAGAACAATACTTGTTATTTTTCTTTTTCCTGTTTCAGAAGTGATACTAATACTAACAAAATTATGCTATCATATTTCATCCTTAAATATATGTATGATGTTTGACAATTATTTGAAATTAGAAATCGACAATGTCCAAATAGTACTACCCGATCAAGTCAAATGGTTAGGTTTGTCCAATTTATGGTATGTTAACTGGTTGGCAAAATGTGGTGCAGAGTATTCTACTCCTACGTCTGCCCCTCATCTTAATTTATTAGTAGTTGCAGATATTTCTGACACTGTTTATTATTATTATTATTATTATTAGGCTTTCTTAGTTTATCTTTTTCTATTATTTTCTCCCGATAAAAAATATATTAAAAAAATTGGCGTTATAAGGAAAATAAGTGTAAGCATGACTTGGAATAAGTGAGTTCCTTTCTCTACTATATTCAAACATCCTTTTTTTCTGTTTTGCCCTATACTGAATTTTTTTTTCTTTTAATTTTTGTTTAAAATAAAAAATTAACTTGATTTTGTTGGAGGGAAATTTATCTCCACCGACTTATGTCTACCACACTAAACATAAACAATGTAAACGTGTTGGAGACAACTGTGTGACGAACTTGACAGCATGGTGGGCCTGTGAGAGATAACATAACTATGGGCCGTGTGAGCGGAAGAGAGCCCAAGCGTTATTTCCGGTGGGCTAGGGTTAATTACGTTGACTTGAATGGTTAAAGTCAAATAATGGAGAGGGTGAGAAGCAATGCACGTGTGAGTAAAGGGTTTGCAGAGCAGCACATGGGCATGATGTACGTGGCAGCGTGTGACAGTGAAAGATAAATGGGTCTGTGTTTCTGCAGAGAAGTGTGGGGCCCCAAGGAGCCTCATATGAGATATACAGTACTTTGCTTCTGCGAAAGGAAAAACACCATATCAGTGGGACCCTCTCAACTCTACATCAATATTATCATTATTTTAATATATTTCTCACATTTTGTCCCTCTACTCTCTATTGTCTTCCACCTCACTCTCTCTAACGTAAAACCATTAAACAAAAAAACAATATGAATTTTATAATTTTTTAAAATTATTATTATGTTGTATTTTTTAATAGTTAACCTCTAACGTAGTGAGTAGATATCAGAGTTTAGCTGATTCTAGAGAAAAGAGTATATAAGGGTTTCTCTAAAAAAGAAACTTCATAAGTTCATTCTCAAAATAAACTTAGAGAGAAATTTTAGGGAGAAGAACTCTGAATTTGTGAACTCTCTTCTCTCCCAAATTTCTCTGATTAATTCTTCTTCTTCTCTAGGCACTAACTTCTTCTGTCTTCTCTTGGATTTCAGGCTAAGAAGCTTGTTTTTGGTGGATTGAAATCTGGGAGTCGAGCTTCGTAAGAATTTCTTTGCTTCTTCTTAATTCTTGGCTTTCTTGAG